TGGACCTGGAATGGTTCAGAAGGTAAACCGGCTAAAACCTGGATGAGTGAGAGCCTGTCGAACACCTCGTGATGAATCGGGTCTTTACATATTTCCTTTTTGTTGCTTGTGTGTGTGCTTTAACTTTTTTGGATTGGAGGAAAAACCCAAATACACACTCCGATAGCCGGTTTATGTCCAAGTTTTTGTTCTATTACAGTAAAACTAGGAGTACCTGCAGCTCAAACTAGCTAAAACCAGCTAGAATTTACTAATAAATCAATCAATCAATCAAGTTTATTTGTATAGCCCTTTACAATACCCAAATGGTACTCAAAGTCAAAGGTCTTTACATATTTCCTTTTTGTTGAGTGTGCGTTTGCTTTTCCTTTTTTGGATCGGAGGAAAAACCCAAATACACACTCCGATAGCCAGTTTATGTCCAAGTTTTCTTTTTATTACAGCAAAACTAGGAGTACCTGCAGTTCAAACTAGCTAAAACAAGCTAGTATTTACTACTAAATGCACAATAAACAGCCCTATTTATGTATTTTATATGTACAAAAAACATGCAAAACATACAGAAACAACTAAAAATACACAATAAACGGTCCTATTTGCCCTCCCTTTGACTAAAGCCTCCTGCTGGACCTGGAATGGTTCAGAAGGTAAACCGGCTAAAACCTGGATGAGTGAGAGCCTGTCGAACACCTCGTGATGAATCGACCCGGTCAGAGGCCTTTAATCTCACCAAAGTGCCCCTACACGGTGAAAAATGAGCCCTGTTACAACCCACAGCTGCAGATATCAACATATCTGCAGGGTCCTGTGTGTGGGGGGGGGTCTGACAGCCAAACAGGTTTTCTCCCATTCATCAATAGTGTCAAAACGGGTTAATGAGCAGCTGGAAGTCCAAAAGCAATAAGATTTACAGGAGGAAGAAGAAGTAATTCTCTCTTTATTTCCCACCGTTGGAGGGAGTGTTCCCCCAAAAGCTGAAAGGGTTCTGAAGTCTGGTTCCTTCAAAATGAAATCAACCCAAAGAGAAAGGCTTTGTTATGAATAAACGTGGAAAACCCCAGAGAGATGCTTTTAAACCTATAATGCCAAATGTGTCATATTATCTCACCTATTAAAATCAAAGGGTTAAGGCATGTGATATCTCTGTTTGCAGATGATATTATCTCGTATGTGTCAGACTTACAGAAATCCCTCAATGCCTTACGACCCGTATTTGAGGAATTTGAGGCTATATCTGGTTATAAAATTAACATTTACTCCTGGTTCCAGTTAAGAACCACCAACGAGATTCAGGTGTTACCACTCCATTAACCCGGTTAAGAGCCCGAAAGAGGATAATAAAAATGCATTTTATATTCTAAAAAGTGCTGCGATCAGTAATTAATAAAGACTAAAGGAGACAAGAAGCATGAAATACAGATAAAAGATTAAAAATTACATGATGATTAAAAGAAAAAAGAAAAAACAAACAAAAAAAAAGAATTAAACTAAAGCGGGAATTAAAGTCCATGTTGAGATTAAAAGAGTAAATTTAGGAAAAATCTGATAAAAATCGTAGGAACCATAAAGATATTTAACCCTATAATGCCAAATGTCTCATATTTGATACGGTTTCTGAAATGTTTTGTGTCTGACACCTTTTGCATAATTTAATGGTAAAAACTTTGTTCTAAATCCTATTGAACACAATCAGATACACCTGATAACAGGGGGCAGAAGAATACACAAAAATAATCTGGACTTATCGCATAGTAATAAATTATTAATATTAAAAATGTATTTCTGTTTTTTCTTTTTACATATTTTGTTAAAAGGCCAAATAAGGAATTCAAACAAAAAAAAAGTAATTTTTTGTTTTGTTTTATTCTTGGATCAGGCTTTAAAGGGTTAAAGGACAAACACGGAAACCCGGGCTTATGCTGTCAGGATGATCCCGATAGATAGAAATATTATTCAAAAAATCTTTAAAAATCTTTGATCAAAAGCCCCTGTCATTCCACCAGTGTAATATTTTGGAAAAATATAATATGCTCAATTTTGAACATTGTATTCATTTTAAAAATAGTTGTTTAACCCTTTAAAGCCCGATCCAAGAATAAAACAAAACAGAAAAATACTTTTTTTTGGGTTGAATTCTTCATTTGACCTTTTAACAAAATGTGTAAAAAGAAAAAACAAAAATAAATTATAATCTAACTCATTTACAATCTGTACAGAAGTGTAAGATTGTTCATTAATGTGCACTGTCCTGATTAAATAAATAAATAGATAAATAAACAAATAAATAAATGAATGAGTGAATAAAAAAATAAAAAATAAATTAATCAATAAATAAATACATAAATACATAAATACATAAATACATAAATACATAAATAAATAAAATAAATAAAATAAATAAAATAAATAAATAAATAAAAAAATAAATAAATAAATAAATAAATAAATAAATAAATAAATAAATAAAATAAAATAAAATAAAATAAACCCGGTCTTGGCTTTTTCCTGGACTCAGATTAGATATGGAGCAAAACAGAATCAGATTTTAACTGAAGATGACACGGTGAGGTGATAAAAACACAATCTGAGAGGATGAGAGGAGTACGGGGCTCCGGGGGGGTAATCACCATGTTTCCCCTCTTAAAAGAGCGCTTAAACGTGTGGAGGGGTGCTGAGAACACTTTCTAAGGGAAGCTAACCTGATTAAGTGGAGACGTAGGTGGCTTTGATTATGTTCGCTGTGGGGGGGCTAATCAGGATCCACAATCAGATCTCTTTGAGGGGGAAGCAAACATAATCCTCAGAGTATCAGAGGGAAGCAAAAAGTCTTTCCCTGATTACCTGAGCACAATGAAAACAGCCTGAGAGTCGAGATAAACACTCTCAAGTTCCTCAAATCCCAGGGAATCGGAACATGAATGAACGGGAAACCGTCAGAAACATAAAAGCAGCATTTTCCGAAACACAAGCTTTCATTTTGGCGTAAAAAAAGAAGGACAAAACGCTCACTGACAGCTTACTGACATAAATTATTAATTCAGGGGATAACAACGACAACAACAACTTGTAAACAATCCTAATCC